AAGGGATTAAAAAGTTGTTAAGTGAGGAATTAATCAAGTCGAGCTGAGATGAGTATGGGCACTGCATGGTGTGTACCATGTCAGGGGGGATGTGGTCAGGGAGGGCACTGACTTGCCATGTCATTCCCTCATTGGGGTCGATGAACATGAGGTGGGAGACAGGGAGCAGCACAGCATTACCCCCACAGTCAGAGAGCAGAGGAGGATGTGGTGGAGGATGTGGTGAGGAAATCTAGTCAGCAAGCTCCTGCCTTCTTCACTGAAAGTCTCCCAAATTGAATTGCTATTGTATGTCTATCCTTCTCTGCCCCCAAACTCTGTTTACAAGGATGTTATGGTCATTAATACACTCTTAAGTAGGATAAACCTCCTTTCAACTTTGTCCTAAGCAAATCCTCAGGTCCCTTGTTGTCTGTGGGCACTTCCAAAGAGCATCTTCTGCAGGATGAAACATGCAGCCAGTTTCTCTGTGGGAAGAAATCCAGCAAAGCAATCCAGAAACCCACCCAGATCCAAAGAAGAAGTTGTGCCAAGCTGAAGAGAAGCAGGTAGCCCACCAAGGGTGTCTGGATGGGAGACCAAAGTGTAGGGCAAGGAAAGGCAATCTGAGTACTGCCAGTTGCTGAGGAGGATGGGTTTCAGGTCCCAGGAGTGGTGAGGGTCTGAGAGGGATAGTTAGAGCCATAGAGAGCCTTGGTCCCTTGGATTTTCTCCAGGTGTCACAGCATCAAGGCAGAGCTGTGTTTACAGCAAGTGCTGGGGAGTCTGAACAGCCAGATGGGTTTAAATTGAGTTCAGATGGGACTTCACCACCCTCATCCCCAAAGCTGAGTAAGGATGGGAGCTCCAAAATGACCAAGTCCTCCCTTGCTCTTGTGTGATGCTGCTTTTGGGGTCTTGTAGGACTTTCTTTCTCCAGTGGCTTAGTATGTTGCTTGGCAACAAAGATGGTGGGACACAGTCCTCTGGTGGACCTCAGCCATGCTCTCTCTCTTACCTAAGGTCACCCTGTGGCAGAGAAGAGAAGGCCAACACATGGGACAGAGAAGTTCCTCAGTAAAGGACAGCAAAATGCCTTGACAATCCCTCCTCCAACCAACAGAAGGAAGCAAAGGGGACAGCCAAGAGTGCTGGAAAGCAGAAATTATACTTAATGTCATGGGCCATGATACAAAGTCCCAAGTTACAAATAATACTACTGTTCTGTGAAAAGAGAGGAAA